ATTAGCAACAGAAGGAATCTGTTTCACAAATGGAAGTCCTTCATGGAACCATAGAGTTGGAAAGGACCTCAGATATCCTACTCAGTGTAGAATCTGTTAATAAAGGGGAATATGACACTTCATAATGAAATCTAGATCCGTACCAAGAAATTCTAATATCTATCTTGACTTCTGATGGGAGCAATGGCGGATTGAACATTTCCCTTCAGGTTCTCCTGAAGAGAAATGTCAGTGTGGCATTTTTGAGGCTCGGACAGGAACCCTTGAGCTTGAAGAATTCTCCAGACCCAAGGAGAATCCCTGAAATTGACCCATATATCCTCCAGACAGCTGTTCCTGGTGATGAGATCACAAAGCGAAGGTTTTTGCAATTGCCTGGTGAGTGAGCAGCTGGGCGGCAGAGTTTTCATCCAGTTCCAAGCTGCGCTGAAGTCCAGAAAATGGACACTAAATTCGACCATCCCATTTCTTCATTCCATTTAGATTGCTATTTTTTAGTTAAAGAGAGGCTTTCTTTGGATACAGAGGATTATTTCCTTTTGGCAATTGGAGATATTTCATAGGACTATTGATTTTCAATTGATTGGATATTGGATTTTGCTAAAAATGTAAAGAGTAATGGAGTTTGAATTACTGTGGAATTTTAAAGATACAAGGGAGTTTCTTCTTTCTTTTATTGGCTTTTTTTTTTGTGAATCTGCTTTTGTTGTACTATATTTGGGTCTATACATCTCTGCGAGAAAGTTGTCCTTTTTTAAATCTACTTTGCACTGGTTGGGACAGACTTGTAAACAAGGTAATAGGAGGTTTCCAGAATTTATCATGAACTTTTTTCCTCTCTTTTTCTTCTTTAAGGTGTAATTTGCTTTTTGACCATTAGAGTGTGTTATTGCCTAACTGACTTGCTGAAAGATTTTTCTGGTTGACTTTTTTGCTGGCTGATTTTTTCTGGTTATTATATTTGAAAATGGCATCTAAGAGATTGTACAGATGTGGATCCAGGGACTTTGACTTCTTGAAACAGATGTTTGATGACTGTTCTGTTAAAGTCATATAGGCTATAGAGGCTAAATTTGAAACAATAGAAAAAAAATAGATAAAAAATGGAACAGGTGTTTGCTGATGTAAAACAAATTACTGACAAAGTAGAGGTATTGGAAAATAG